AACAAAGCGCGCTTTTGTTTTTTTTAATTCAATACATGCAAGAAGTAGTACGCATTACGTGGACGGGTTAGTTTGGGCTAGTTTGCATATTTTTGGTTAGTTTCGTTACAGTTCATTTAATACTGGTTATAAGTGTACTGGACTACTGATTAATAACGCATTACGTGGACGGGTTAGTTTGGGCTAGTTTGCATATTTTTGGTTAGTTTCGTTACAGTTTATTTAACCTTCCGGAGCTCGCGCTAATTATTTTGCAGAGGACGCTCGCGCGCGGACTCACAATCCTCAGCATTCAAATGTGCTTTTAAATGACTTTTTCTGAAAATTGTTGACAATAAATGTTAATTGTTATTTATTTTAAGTCCTTATTCATCGAATACACATACATTTTGGCATCTTAACAGAACTTATTGCTAAAAAAAAAATATACATTGTTTTTCGCAACTCAGCAAAACTTATTGCTAAAAAAATCAAAAATAAACATTCAACACAAATAAAGATTCTTATTGGAAATAGAAGTTTGTCTCATAGTGAGTGACATTCATGACAAATAACGAGTGAATGCTCCTCAGAATGCTCTCTAAACAAACACACACATCTGTGGCATTCAATGCAAAAAAAAAATGAGAAGGTCTCACAGTCCGGATTGGCTATAGTTTGGTAAAAACCGCACACACCAAGGCACAAATGAGCACTGACTCTAGGAGATAGATAGATACTTAAGATTGCAGCCCCGTGGTTTGTCGATTTTTAAAATAAACAGCAAAGGAAGATAGTTGCAGAGTGTGAGTCCGCGCGCGATCTCCGGAAGTCTAATACTGGTTATAAGTGCACTGGACTACTGGTTAATAACGCATTACGTGGACGGGTTATTTTGGGCTTGTTTGCATATTTTTGGTTAGTTTCGTTACAGTTCATTTAATACTGGTTATAAGTGTACTGGACTACTGGTTAATAACGCATTACGTGGACGGGTTAGTTTGGGCTAGTTTGCATATTTTTAGTTAGTTTCGTTACAGTTCATTTAATACTGGTTATTTTTTATTTTATTTATTCAATGACGGGAAAACCCCATTAATAGTTACAATTAACAAAGAATTTTATAGTTATGATTGTAGATTTCTAATGGCCATTTGCACGACTATCACTTAAGGGATATAGACCTAAAATATCACAATTTTGTTCACTACATAGTTATCCTATTAAATTGTCCTTTAAACTGATTTAAAGATAAACCAAAAATCTCTAAATGATGTTCATTAACCAATCTAGAGTATCTATCCAATGGCAAATTGAAACCATAGTTTGTACGATGAAATGGTATATAAAAAGTTGTGAAATTCTGTCTTCTATTTCTATTGACAATTTCCACTCCAATCTGATTGAGCAAATCCATGCAATCAATCCTATTATTAATAATGCTATCCAAGAAAGTTAATCCAGCACAAGTTCGTCTTCGCATTGGTGTGCTCAAATTAAGTTGATTTTCAAGAACTGTGTACTCATGATTTTCAACAACTAACCCCAGCCTGAAAGCACATCAGAGACGCAAGAACCTATGCTGGACCCTTTCCACAGTTTGAATATGCACGGCTTGGTATGGCGACCATACCACCAAAGCATACTCCAACTTAGATCTCACTAATGAGCAGTAAATGCCCCTAGTAGTGCTAACAGAAAATTGTTTACAGTGACGTAAAATAAAACCTAACATTTTGGATGACTGAACCGTTACATTGTTTATATGTTCCACAAAAGATAAATTTTCATCGAAAATAACCCCTAGGTCCCTAATTTTTTTAACATATTTTAATGCTTGGCCATTTAAAGAATATTCGGTATCCAACTTTTTCTTACCCTTATAAAAACTGATATGACAACACTTGGAAATATTTAAATCTAATCTAAATTTGAGACACCAAGAACTCAATCTGTCAAGATCATCCTGTAGCAATTGTTGATCATATAAGTTATTAACAATTCTAAAAGCCTTAAAATCATCTGCGAAAGCAAGACCGTCACTGTTCTGAAAACAATCAAAAATGGTGTTGACAAATAAATCAAAGAAAAGAGGAGAACAGTGCCCACCTTGTGGAACACCTGAGGTAACACTTACATAATCCGATTGAAAAGAACCCATTTTAACTCTTTGCTTATGATCTGACAGAAAACTTTTAGTCCAACGAACAGAAGCCGTATTGAATCCTATGTCATACAACCTTTTCAGAAAGATTTGGTCATCAACGCGATCGAACGCTTTGGAAAAGTCCGTATATATTGCATCAACTTGTTTAAATTCCTCTAAATCTTTAGTAATTTTATCTTGGTATGTGAGCAAATTAGTAACAGTTGAACGGCCAAGACAAAAGCCATGTTGATAACTTGGGTATAGACGATTGGATGCACACGCTTCTGTAGTTGGTAATGTCACTCTTTTCACCACTCTTAAAGATTGGCACAATGAAGCTTTCCTTCCATATGTCTGGAAAAATTGACGACTGCAAAAACTTGTCTACTGGTTAATAACGCATTACGTGGACGGGTTATTTTGGGCTAGTTTGCATATTTTTGGATAGTTTCGTTACAGTTCATTTAATACTGGACTACTGGCTGATAACAAAGCGCGCGCGAAGCGCGCTGTTGATTTCTAAATTTGATATTTGCATGTAAGGACTAGCACGCATTACGTGGATGGGTTTGTTTCGGTTAGTTTGCATATTTTTGGTTAGTTTCGTTACAGTTCGTTCATAACTGGTCCATAAGTGTACTGGTTGACAACCAAGCGCGCTGATAGCGACCGATAGTAGGGAATATTCGTAGTTGATTTTCAAAGGGTGGGCCAAATCGTCAATTTTAAATATCATTTTTTGATGGAAAATGTGCATTTTCCGCATTTATTTTCATCAAAGGTCGGGAAGAGGCGTTTTTTGATTGAATGGCTTTAAAAATAGAAATTGTGTATTTCCGCGAGAAAATTTTTCCTTTTTTACATTCAGAAAAATGTTTACAATGAATATCAATTTTTCACGTAGGTAATTGATTTCAACTATTCTAAAGTCTCATAAATTTTTCCGGAAAATGGAAACAGCTTATTTCCGCAGCAAAATTTTTGTGGTTGTATGTTCAAAAAAATGTTGAAAATGCAAACAAACAAAAAATTTTCACATAACTGATTTCAGCAATTCTAAAGTCCGGAAAATGGAAATGAAGCATTTCCGCAGAAAAATTTGTGTGTATTCGTTTTTATGGAAGCTTTTTAAAGGCATTTTTCTATTTTTTTTTTCTAATAGCTGATTTCTGTTAAACGAAAGTTGACCCAAACTTAGTCCTAATGACATATACACAACTGATTCGTACGCTGTCGTATCATTTGAAATGTATGATAATAAGCGATCTGAAATCTGAAAAATCTGAAATCTGATTTCTGGGTTAGAATGAGATGATATTCCCAGCGATTACCACATGATTCTCAGCGATTGCCAATGGATTCCTATGTGATTCCCTCGGTGATTCCCATGGAGTCCTAGGAGATTCCTAGCGATTCCCAGGTAATTCCCAGTGATTTCCATGTATTCCTGATTGATTATTATGTGATTCCTAGAAAAATGTATAATGATTTCCACTAGTGGTTTACCCCTTGTATTTAGCTTAGCAAAAACCAGTCATGAAGATATCCTTTGACCCTTGACCTGGCAATGGTACTAATATTCAAAGAAGAACCCAATCTTTTAGCACAGCATCAGTATTTGCAGAAAAAATGATGTGTGCAACATGGCAAGTAAAAGCCTTGTTCGGGTTTGAGAAATAGTATATTGTGTATTTAGGTGGAAAAGTGACACATTCTCGGCCGACGGTGTAAGTTGACGGGCGAGGCGTAGCCGAGGCCGGCAAACACCGAAGGCCGAGAATGTTCTTTTCCACCGAAATACACATACTATTTTTTCTGCGATCGGTTAAATATCTTTTAAATGTTTGTCTTTTTGTTCCAATTATTCAGCAGTACGAGAATCACTTTCCCGGCCTAGGCCGGAAAAGTGTTTCCTGTATTGTTATTCATTGATTTCTTAGCAACTATTGGAACATAATGAAAATACCAGAATATTGAGTTTTGCGATCTGTCAACCGGTCAAAAACGCTGACATTTCTTGTCAATCGCAGAAAAAAGACTTTTCTAGAATGTTTCAATCACACTATTTATCTGTACAGTGAGTTTATCAATCAACAAAATGACAACGGCTCGGCTATCACAAACAATAATAGACTGTTGTTGTTGTTATAGAACCATCCCTTTTTCAAACCCGGACAAAGCTAATGCCTTGGCCTTGGCTCATTCAGAAGCCTTGACTGCGCCTTGGATTTCGGGGCATTTTGCAGAAGACCTGATTGTGCAATGAAACCAAGACTATCTAACAGTACTTAAGTGAATTTTTTTCTAATGAAATCATTAACTCAATTTGTTCAGATCATCAGTAGGGTCCTGTAAAGTATAAATTTTGCTGTTGTTGTTAAACTTTTGCTTTTGAAAACCCTCAAAACCAAAAATATCATGGAAAAATCGAGTACATGGAATTGGTTATGGGTTGTCCCACTTTTTTTCCCCCCAATCCAATTAAAACAGGATTGTTTTACATAACGCAAAAATTAAAATTACCGTCGGGTTGTTTCATTCCTGGCGTGATGGCCCTCAAAAAATCATCGGGTGTCATGTAAACCTCATTGGTATCTCCAATGATAATTTTAACAGTGGCAAAATACCTAAATATCTTGTCTGGAGTGGAAAAAGATCTCATACGGTTTTCGTATTCTATAATCTAATTTCGGAAAGGAAAAAAAAAATTTTTATGTAGAGTAGGCAAGCCAACTACTGCCCTTACACTGCAAATTTAAGCTCTCAGAGAGAGAGAGAGAGAGAGAGAGACACTCTCCCTTCAAAGTTTGTTGTGAGGGCTGAAATTTGTTGTTATTCTGGATAGCCCACCCAGTATCAAAAACGCACCTACCTTTCTGTCTCTAAACCCAACTTTCTCTTTTCTATGTTTCTTTTTTTTTCCATCTTCTTCTATGGCTTCCTCAGATCTGGGATTGGAATCTTCGACATCTTTCACTACTTCTGCTTCAGCATTCACCAAAAAGAATCTTCCAAATCTGTTTATATCAAATTTTAATTTCCTAATACCAAAGAACTTATATACCTCTTACCTTCTCCATTCAACTAATGGTGCCATAAGAACCAAACACAGAAACCAATAATAGTTCTTGTGGGTTTTCTCTTGGTTGTCTCCAGTTGAATAATTATAAAATTGTCTATTTTGTACATAATGAGTTTGAAAGTGCGTTACTGATAGAATATTTTTTAATTGTGTATTTTTGAATAGAAGAGTCCTGTGGCCTAGTGGGGCCATTCGCAGGATACGAAAATAGCTCATAATGAAAGCACAATACACTGTAGAAGTAGGTTATAAATTAAAAATTACAGTCTTATCAGTTGATAATTAGGCAAAAAGTGTATATAATTTTTTTTGAATTTTTTAATTTTATTTATTATTTGATTCCTAATTTGAAAAAATTGAAGAGGGACTTTGAGTTTTTTGATTATTTCTTGAAGCTTTTTAACCCAGTCCAAAACCAAATAAAAAGTACGGATAAACCACTAACCATTCATAACAAAAGTCAGCTGTTTCAAGAGTGCGTTCTGCTTTTAGCTCCGAGTTAAAAGTGCAAAGTGCAAGTGAAATATTTCGGAGATCACCAAATACATTTTGGAGTAGCAAAATGGCTAGCAAAAATTTTTTCAAGCCAAACTTTGCCATTGGCGACCATAATTGTACGAATTCATAACCGAATCATCCCAAATTGTTCGACCACATTTCCTAGTGGAGTAGAACTCAACAAATAAAACTCAGCGCAACAGAGAGCACCCCAGATCTTAGTGCCGAGCACTGTATATTATCCGTTCACAATCCGATGTCCACAGGTAGGTACAGGTGAAATCACCTTTCAATGCTATTTGATAGGGAAAGGTGATAAATGTACCTGCACCTGTGGACATCGGTGTGTGTGTTGGTGTATTTTTTGTTTTTTGGAACAGTGAAATCAGAACGTGCTTAACGCTCTTTCACTGGACAACAGTGACACCGAAACCTAACCCTACAATATATGGAAAATAATTATTTAAAAACTTTATCCAAACATAAAAATACATAATGTTGCATTCAAAAATATTATCTTTATTAATACCTGTAAGTAGAAGATTCGTGAAATTACCAAATCGTAGCTCTGCTGTAATCAATTCATCTTCAACAAATTGGAGAGTCCTACAAAACTATCAACCAAAAAGAGAATACAAGAAATTTGGTCACAAGGAGAAACCTGAACCGTTAATAACTAAAATATTTTGCATATTTTGTGGAACTATATTCCTATTCTCTCTAATAGACTGGAGATGGTGCGTATTAAAGAAACAATTTCAATTCAATAAACTTTTTATTTTCAGGTGTAGAATGCTATATTTAAGAGCCACTGGACAATTAAAAGAAAAGGAGGACAGAGAAAAAGTTGTTGATGAAGTTACTTGACAGTTTATTCCTTTATTATGTTGTTTATTATAAATTTTATCTGTATGAGAATAATTAGGTTTATTTGGGGATGCTATTTCAAGAGTGATCTAATAGTTCATACATAATTGGTGAACGGCACATCAGACGCAGAAGTGCTAGAGTGCTTAGATGTAGGTTAAGAGCTGTTCTGTAAAGGTAGCACTTCACTTCAAGAATCAAGATTATTGTAAAAGGTGAATCACCCGAACAGCCTCTTCCAATTTCAGATCGTTATTTATGCCAGTAGACAGTTGTTGGGAAAAGAAAGTGGATCGCAAATAGTTCCTAAAAGTTTCGTTTTCGAAATTGTATCACAAAATGTATGGTACAATAGATTCAAAAGTATGGCATTTTTAGTTCCTCGAGAAGATGAAGATAAAGAGTGAATCAAATCAAATCTCATTCCCATTAGTTAGTTGTATTCCTTTCAAACCTAGGAGGAGCTCCGGAACAGCTCCGGGGCTTCACGCGCTTATTCCTTTCGAAAAGTGTTTGTTGCACCAAGATAATTCTCCAAGTATCAGCTGATCAAGGATTAGTAAAGAGTTGTATTCGATTCGTACGTTCAGTTCATTCGAGAATATTTCGTACACGAAATTTGACTGCTCCCCATTTAGGGCGTGTTTGGGTTGACGCTCGGCGGATCGAGCAGAGCGATTACGGAGTAACGTGACGTCACAGGGAGTACACCGTGTCAAGCCAAATAAACTTTTGCAAAAATGCTGGGTCGAAGGATCATCTGATTATTGTTTATTTTTCTTAGCATATATTTTTTCGAGTCCGAGCCCGCATTTGCACCAGAGTTTTCTCGTTTGTTTTGCATTTTAGTCGATAATTTTCAAACGGCCCCATTTTCTTTTGTATTCCGCAAAAAATGTCGTGCTACATAAACAAAACGAACCTAAACAATCTGAGGCTGCCAAATTCCCTTGGAAAAATATGTTCAATGCTACCAGTGATGAGGACTATCGAGAAAATTTAGTTAAAAGTAAACAATCATGCAGAATTTACTAGCTATTTGATTATTAATATTTGAACAAAATAGCTAAAACTATCCACCTAAAGTCTAGTACTCATCATAACTGCGAAATTCGCATTTTTTTGACGCTTCGACAATTTGACGTTTGATACAGGCATGAAACGTCAAATTGTCAACGCAAATGTCAAAAAATGCGAATTTCGCAGTTATGAGTACTAGGCTTTACAAGTTAAAATCTGTTTTTTTTTAAAGATAAAAGTCAAAATGACATTCTGTTGGCAATACAATGTAAAATTGTCAATGCTTTCAAATTTTTTATGTAGAAAAGGCTTGTGTTGCCAACATAGTTACTAAATTTTTGACTTGGGGAATTATCTTTAAAAAAAAAACATACTTTATATGTTAAAATTCAGGATTGTTTATTTATCTTATCATGGAGAATAGGTTAGGTTATACAGACAGATTAAACACATCTGATCTGCGCATGCACGCTCCAGCTGCCCACCCCACAAACTCGGAGTTTATCGAGCTCGCTCTGAGCGCTCAAAATATGTCAAACCAAACACAATCAAGCGTTGTCGGAGCTTCAAAAATAACGGGGGAGAGACAAAAGTGCAAGCTCTGAGTGCACCGAGCGTGAACCCAAACGCGCCCTTAATTTACATTGCTGTCAGTTAAATTTCGTGTACGAAATGTACTCGAATGGTTTCGAAAATCGCACCCCAGATCGATCTAAACGGAAAAAGTAAAGTATCTTTTTTTTTTAAAGATAATTCCCCAAGTCAAAAATTTAGTAACTATGTTGGCAACACAAGCCTTTTCTACATAAAAAATTTGAAAGCATTGACAATTTTACATTGTATTGCCAACATAATGTCATTTTGACTTTTATCTTTAAAAAAAAAAACAGATTTTAGGTTCAATTTGATAACTGTCACTTGTCAGTTGTTCGTTTGGTCCGGTTTGGTTGGTGTGGAAAGCTCTTGTTTTTTCTTAGGGCGGGTATTATAAAACTGCTCTCACAGTTAACTTAAAGTTAACTTTTTGAATTACATGTAATTCCAGAAGTTAACTTTAAGTTAACTCTCAAAGCAGTTTTATAATACCCGCCCTTAATATTTCATCTAAAGCCTAGTTCTCATGCGGCAACATGTATTTGGCCGACCAAATGTTAATTTTTCAATATTCGCCATACTCAATCGTTTGGTGGTCGTTTGGTGGTCTTTGGTATCCCACTTTTAATATTTGGTGGTAATTACTTAGGCAGTAATTAACAATTAAAAATTTCATATGACGTTGGCCGACATAACCTGATTCTAATTTATTTTTTGGCCCATTTATAGTCAAATCGAACGGAAATCGTTTGGTGGTCACGAATTTACCGAATTTAGCCTTTGTTAGTCAATAATACCGGAGTAATTAATCAAATAAGATTGTTTTCTGATATATTTTAATTAATCGTCGCGCATGCGCATATATTATCTGTTTTACATTGAGCCGCCTCGATCGCGGCGTTGCCGTTGCGATCCGGAACTGGCGGTGGGCCGGTGGCGTGTCAACTCGCGAGTCGCGGACTCTGCTTGTACTGGATACTAGATTACTGGATTGTCGTTGTCGTGGTCAGTGGTCACCACAATATTGACTACCAAACGTTAAATTCGGTAAATTCGTGACCACCAAACGATTTCCGTTCGATTTGACTATAAATGGGCCAAAAAATAAATTAGAATCAGGTTATGTCGGCCAACGTCATATGAAATTTTGAATTGTTAATTACTGCCTAAGTAATTACCACCAAATACTAAAAGTGGGATACCAAAGACCACCAAACGACCACCAAACGATTGAGTAAGGCGAATATTGGAAAATTAACATTTGGTCGGCCATACACATGTTGCCTTCTCATGCAGCGGAAAATCTCGTGGCTGACGCGAAATTTTAAAATATCAACTTTTTGCGATATCGCAAAAAGGTTAAACAATTTTTAACTTTTGCGCGAGCTTTTATCCTCTATCACCTGTGAGATGTATGGTACGACATTTGATAAAATCACTAAAATACAGGGTGACCCAGCTGAGAGTGACCCATTCTAACTGCTTATAGCTTTTAAACCAGGGTACGGATTCTCAATCGTTAAGTCGATACGTAACGTCCCGACTCGAGAAAGGCAATGTAAAGTCGGGGTCGATAGGTTGCGACTAGAGGTTGAGAATCGGGGGGCAGGTGTGCTAGCTAGCTGCGGCTTGCGCCATTCGATTTCTCTCGTGCTAAAGTTTTTTTTAGTAGGTTGCAATTTTTTTTTGCCTCTGATACAGGGCGAGTAAAAAAAATCCGTTTTTAACATCGAAATTCTCTAATATTTTTAATGGAATGCCCTATATATGACAACGTCAATAAAAAGAGTCATGTTTAAGGTATATCCATGTGCCAATAAACATCGTCCTTTAAACTTGAAGTTTTAGCCGTAAAAAATTAAAATCGAAATCCTGGTATTTTTCTTAAGCATAGGTATTTTCAAAGTTTGGAAATTATGTTTGCCTGCTAAAAACAGGAATGCTATTAGCACTAAAAAAATGGTACTAGAAAGTAGGGAATAATTGTACTGGATTGGCGACATTGTTTACTAGCTGGAAGCGCGTCAAGTTTTGAAATTTGAATACAAATGTAAGCTCTGCTAAATGGGGGTAAATATCATTTATTTTAGGGTCGATTTCTCAATAGGGAGTCACCTGCGGGTTGGTTTTAATTCCAGGGTAAACGGGTCCAGTTGCAATGTTTACCTAGAGTTATCCTTAACCTGGGGGTGACTCGCTATCGCTATTGGGAAATCAGCCCTGAAATTTCTACATATTTAGTTATAAATTGACTATCGATTACCATGATCCGCTGAATAACTAGAGGTGGGTTGCGATTTCACGAACTGTGACTTTGTCACTGCTACTCGTCTGTCACAGTCACGACCTGCTCCAGTCCCAGTCATGTAGCAGTGACATTTTGTCACTGCCCGTTCAAGCTCCGACCGACGCAGCGCGGACAAAACTCGAGCTAAGTCATGTAAATGAAATAATATTATTATAAATCGCATTATGGTCACACCAAATGGAAACTGCTAAACTGCTACTGCAGAGGGCAGGCTGGAAAGTGGAGCATCTCTGTCAGCCGTGAATGCGGACTGCCACTATGCCATTTTGCGATGTAGCATTAACATAGCAGTACGGCCGCCAACTAAGGTAAAACTGCTCCAAAAAATCACTGCTATTTGTCACAGTGACACAACTGGAGCAGTCACGTCTTGTCACAGCTCCATTAAAATCGCAGGTTGGCCCACCTCTATGAATAACCGAATAACCACCGATACATGACACACGTCAAGTCACAGTATAAAAAACTCCCCACCATCAAATTCTGGGATACTCGAGGATCAAGAACACTAATTTGTTCTTTGAGAACAGAGCGAAAATCACTTTTTCTACATTTAAAATCGACGAAAAAATTAACTCACTAGCATAGCCTAAATCGTAAACATTCGATCGAGATCTAAAGGTGACGTCTTCGCTATTTTCTGCTGATAGTGACGTCTTTCGCAGGCCCAGAATTTGATGAAGCCAAAAAATGCCTCATATTCGAACGCCAATTTCTTGTTTGGCTTTAGCCGCACCGTACTGGGACCGGAACGTCAAACCCAACCCTCAAGTAGAGAGTGGAGCGCAGAACTCGGGTACGGTATAGAGCGAAGAGCGACACTCGACTCGTAATCCAAATTGTTCTAGATTTATGAGAGAGGTACTAGCGTACTAGGTGAAACGTGATTGTGCTAGATCTAGTAAAGTCCGTTTTTTTTTTTAAAGATAATTCCCCAAGTCAAAAATTTAGTAACTATGTTGGCAGCACAAGCCTTTTATACATAAAAAAATTGAAAGCATTGACAATTTCACATTGTATTGCCAACATAATGTAATTTTGACTTTTATCTTTAAATAAAAAACAGATTTTACAATTGTACTAGAAATAGCATCCCTGGCTAAAAATTTAATAAAAAATGCATAAAACTATAAAAAAATGGTTCATATGTTAGC